CTGTGTGGGTGGCAAGAAGGAATGAGAAGCCTGGCTTCCTGGAGATACTAAGTCTGGACATGCACACAGAGGAGGAGATGTGAGATGATCAGATCTGAGCCCCACATAGGTAGTTCCCATCTAAAATATTCTGTGCTTCTGTCTTGCTGTCTTGTGCACTCTTCAAGGGGCGCAGTATTATCATACCCTTAATACAGAAAAAAAGGTGAATCTTTTCTGTCCAAAACAATGTTGATTTATTCAAGCACTGTAGATACTACTTCACCTTCAGCATGAGGAAAAAAAGGCAATATATTATATGTATATATATATATATAGAGAGAGAGAGAGAGAGAAAAGCAAAGCTCATGGAAAATGATCACGAAGTAATAACTTCTGATTTTTTTTTCCTGGGAGAATTCTTCCCTTTCTTCACTCCTGTTTTATGCCTCACGTGTGAATGTAACTGAAGTAACCTTTCTGCACATGGGATAATCATTATGGTTTAAACTTTATCCTCTTCAGTATGTGCAAGTACTCACATTAATCCATGTTATGAAGCAAAGGGCAGAGTTTAGTATTGCAGTGCCACCCTGACTAATGGCTTGATTGGCATTTTCACTTGTAGTCAAGGGAGGTGGCACGCTCTGAGCTGGACATTGAGTTCTTATAAGGTTTGTGTTTATTTTGTTCTTTGCAGGAGTGATCACAGACTTGGCTGTCAGACTTGAGGAAACAGGGCTCTGGAGAAACACCTAAGTTATGGTACTTTAAACCTAAGATGGTAGAATTTTATGAAAAAAAAGAAATATCTGTGTTGCATAACACTGGAAAGATATTTTCAGAGGATTTTTTCTGTTATGACTAGGCATGACTTCGAAGTTTACTATTGATATTTAAAAATCTAAATCTGAATGCAATTCAGCCTCTGTGTTCTCTCTTCACTTTCTTCTGTTAGCATTTTTTGCTGTTGTGGGGGAGGGATTGGAAATTATACTAGCAAATATATTTAAATGTGGTGATGCATTTGTGGAAAGTGAATGTTGCCATTGTTACACTGGGAATTTGCACTCCGAATGCCAGTTCTAAGCATTTCATGGAATGCTTAGGGTTGGAAGGGACCTCTAGAGATCATCTAGTCCAACCCCCCTGCACACGCAGGGTCACCTAGAGCACGTGGCACAGGACTGCGTCCAAGCGGGTTTGGAAGATCTCCAGAGAAGGAGACTCCACAACCTCTCTGGGCAGCCTGTTCCAGTGCTCTGTCACCCTCACTGTTAAGAAATTTTTCCTTAAGTTCCTATGGAATTTTTGATGTTTCAGTTGCCGGCCATTTCCTCTAGTCCTATCAGTGGCCACCACTGAAAAGAGACCAGCACCGTCCTCTGCACTCCCTCCCTTGAGGTACTTATAGACACTGATTAGATCCCCTCTCAGCCTTCTCTCCTCCAGGCTGAACAGGCCCAGCTCCCCCAGCCTCTCCTCATAGGGCAGATGTTCCAGGCCCCTGATCATCCCTGTA